TCTCTCGAATGTAACCAAAGTCAGCTTGTTTCCAGAATATCTGCTGGGCCGTCTCGATGTCATTCGCCCTGATGAGAGGAAAATAAAATGCCATTGCTCAATTCTAGTAATGGTTTTAACAGATAACTTCTTTTTTTTTAACCCCAGTGAAAGGGAACAAAAAAGCCAGCCAGGTACTATACTGACATTCAAGATGCAAAGCAGGAAGCAACATATCAGCTACACCTCAGTGAAAACATCAATGCCAATTTAAAGCAATTCTGCTGTAAAAGGCTCTAATTCTTTTAAACATTTTTTTCATCTATTTTTAAAGATAAGAAAAGGAACTGTGGAGTTATTTTAAGAATCTGAATTGAAGGCTAAATCAGGATAAGGAAAACATTGTGGTAGGAAGTATTTCAAGCAGAATTTTCTTCCTTAAAAAGCTGAAAGTCACACTGAGAGATGTACACTGAGTATACATACAGTGTATATGTGTATATGTGCATCTGTACACAGATGGACAGCTCTCCATCTAATGGCTCTAATGACCACAGCATGACATGACTCTAATGACCACAGTAACGTCAACTTCACAGCTGATACAAAAGTGAGCAGTACACTTTTTTGTTCTTTTTCTTTTTGAACGTACTGCACTTTATACATTTAAGATGAAGCTTACCATCCAGATTCTACGTAATCACACACCGGGTAACTGAACCTGTGATCTGATTTGCAAGATTTCTCGTAGCCCCAGCAGGATTTTAATTTCTTCAAGTATTTCTGTAACACAAAATAAATGAATACAGCAATCAGAGCCGTCAGCTTATACACCATCTCTCAGTAACAGATCTTGTTTTTCAAATCTTGCATAAAGATCTTTGCCTGAAAACAGACCTCTGTTTCAGAGGGAACACTCCAATTCCTTACACACAGCAGAGGGCCCGCAGGAGGCACATGCATAGCATTGTTATTCTTGCCATTAATATCTCTTTTCAGGACAACTAATTTTCCTAAACCAGTAAGTAGGATCCCAAAATTCTCAGGTTGCCGACAGCTATGAACAACAAAGCTGAGCTCACCTAAAGCACAGTGCTCCAGGCTGAGAGTACCGCCAGGCAAACCCAGCAGAGCTGGTTCTGCAGTGCTGCAGAAAAGCAGAGAAGAGGGAGCACAGCTCCATCCCAGAAGATGCTGGAATCGCCCTGAGCCACACACAGCCCCGATCCCCAGGTTCACCACCTCTGCAGCTCCTATTCATAGAATCATAGAATGGTCTGGGTTGAAAAAGCTCACAGCGCTCATCCGGTTCCAACCCCCTGCTGTGTGCAGGTCGCCAACCAGCAGACCAGGCTGCCCAGAGCCACATCCAGCCTGGTCTCGAATGCCTCCAGGGATGGGGCATCCACAGCCTCCTTGGGCAACCTGTTCCAATGCCTCACCACCCTCTGGCTGAAAAACTTCCTAATATCCAACCTAAATCTCCCCTGTCTCAACTCAAAACCATTCCCCCTCATCCTATCACTATTCCTAAACGAAACCAACTCACCGGCAAGGAAACCACTACAAGTCCACCAAAAAACTGCTTCAAAACCACAACGACATCAAACCTACTTTATAAGGGCAGTGAGAGTCCTGCTTGCAGATGCCAGCAATGTGCCGATTGTTGTGCAGGAAGTATGGGATGTGCTCGTCTGGTAGGTTGACAGTCCTGTAGCTGTACATGGGCTCTTCCGGAACACTTCTGAGCTCAGTGAGATTTTCATCTCGGGAATTAGCCAGGATTTCTCGCAGTAGCAATCCAAACATCAGCAAGATGAACATGGCAACTTACAGCTTCTGCATGAGGAAAAAAGGCAACGTGAGTGCAGCAGAGCACATTTCAGGCATACCGGGTAGCAGCGCCGTGTACTCCGAGTGTTTTCATTTGTGTCGTCGGGGCGGCCTTTTTGTCTGACAGAAAGTAAACTCTCACGGAGACAGCAGATTGTACAGCCTCGGGATTATCTGGGGATCATTAATCACCGGGTAATTACGCACTGCCACAGACTAAAACGGGCGTGTTTACTTTAGCTGGAGCCCGAGGGATCCTCCGAGCGCGGCCGTGGGAGCCGAGCACGGAGCGGGCAGTACGGAGGGAGGCGGGAGAGCAGCGAGAGAAAAGGAGGAACAAAAGTTTAAAAGTTAAAATTAGCACAGACTGCAGTCTCCGGCTTGGAAGATATTAAGCAAGAGAGGAAGGGAAGCTGCGCAGCCGCCACTCAGCGGTCCGACTTCAACAGAGCCCAGCAGCAGCAGCAGCTGCCGTCGTGTTGCGAGGTGGGACGCGGAGGCTGCAGGGACCACGCGGGTCTACGCTGCGTTGCGGCACGTCACCTTCTGCCGACACATCCCCGAACCGAGCCACTCAGGAGAAAAAAAACGCCGCACCCGTGTCTAAAAAGCCTTTTCTACGCTGTAATTTGCCGAAGAGCCAAAGCCCGGCAGCGCGGACAGCGTTACCTGTCGGCTTTGGGGAGAAGCGCTCCAGACGCACGGACCTACGGCGACGGAGGGGGAGCGGAGCGCGGCCGCACATCCCGCGACGGACGCCGGTTGGGAGAGGAGGGACGGGGACCGCCCGCCCCGCAGCCTCAGGACGCGCCCCGGCCCGCCCCGCACGGCCCATTCCCCGCCTGGCGCTCACCGCTCGGCGCCCCGCGGCCCATCAGAGCCGCCGCAGCTCCGTCCTCAGCCGCCGCAGCGCCGCCCCTCCTTCACACCCGCGGGCAGCGCCGCGGCTTCGGCCCGGCCCACCTGGAGGCGGCGGGCGGGAAGAAGGAGGGGGAGCGTGCGGAGGAGCGGGCCTTTTCCTGCCGCCGCGCAGCAGGAAGCGCGGCCTCTTAGCGCCGCATTGTTCCATTTCCTCCCCGGGGAGCTGCGGGGCACGGCAGGCGCTGCCCCTTCCTGCTGCCGGGGAAATTCGCCCCTATTTTCACTATTATCCCTAATCCCATTACCGCCGTGCGGTTATAAATACATCAGGCCCTTGTAACCCAAATAGCCGTGACTCGTTCACGTGGAGCTGAAGTGAAATTCCGAATACACAGAGCCCTCGGGCAGCCCTACGCTCTGCATCTTCCCTTAAGAGCTGCCGGTCCTCACCTACCGAAAAGAAAAACCCACAGCGCTGCTTTAAGCCTTTGACAGACAGAACCGGAGCCCATGCTTAGCATAAAGTTTTATTTCACCCCGACCCGTGCTCTGTACAGTCTGTACACATTTTACAATTAGAAACCAAAGTCCCGTTTTCACCGCGGGGTAACCCATGTTGTTCCTTATTTAGGACCTTCGTAGCCCTTAACAAAACACGCATTGTAACAAACATGTTAACGGGACAAAAATGAACAGAACCAACCCTTTTTCCAATGGATGGATACGTGTGGTTTTTAAAGTTTGCTTCTTTGTTGCTGGAGGAGGCAACACCAACCCAACACCATGCCAGCCCCTTCTGCACTCATCCAAACCCACCTCCCCTGGCAGAGGCCTTGCCCTCATTTACCAAAGGCATGACATAAGACCCCTCTGAACAGCATACTTTGAGGGAGCCCTTAAATAACCTTCCTCCACACTTGCAGTGAGAATGGGCTGTAAATTAGTTGCTTCCACGAGGGTTACTTACAAATAACAGATTTAAATGGAAGAGGATGGCAGCACTGTGACCTAAATGCTTGCTTTTTGCATGTGTTTTTTTTTTTTTCCTTTTCATAGCAACAAGCATCAAATGTCCTGGTATACATTAACATTTCCTCAAAACAAGCCCACAGGTATGATATCAAAGTGAATCAAAACACGTACAAGTCTACATTACCATCCAGCAGCTACTCTGGTTTCTAAGGCTTTGATGCTTAAGACACAGTAGGCCCCTGGATTGCTGTGTGATAGTAAATGTTGCACTGAATGAGAATAAAAGAATCCAAAAAGAGTCAATACAGCTATTTACATCTGCTTTTGTAAAATTTAAAAATCTAACACGCTCTCAAATGTTTTTGTATCTAAAAAATGTTAACGCTGAGTGTGCGTGTCAATTCCTCATTTCCCTCCTGGAAGCACAAGACAGTTTGAGGTGCTCAAACCTGCATGTGAAGGAGCATCCACACACGTTAGAAAGAAAATGTTACCTTCAGAAACACTGGCAGTTCTAAGTCCAAATAAAAGCCATAAAGTGGTTTCTATACATCTTCAAAGTGCTCCATTTGTCTTCCAAGATCGTAAAAAGAGCAAACTACTGGCTCTCTGCAAAGAATAACAGCTGTTTCTCAACATTAATCTTCATGAAATAGGGTGTATGGATTGTTTTGGGGGTCCATTGTTTTTTTGTTTTGCTTTCCAAGAAATGGATGAGCTGACAGTTGCACATCCTAATTCTGGCTGACTTAGCATGCTGCAAATCAGTAAGTTCTGATAACTGCCTTCATTTTGGGTTGGTCTTTTTGTTGTGGGCTTTTTCTTTTTAACTTAAAGCAACTGAGAACATTTCACTATGATGGCAAAGTGATAAACTCTGAGAGGCTTTTCACCAAAAGCAGCTTCTCATCATTTGTACCCTTTGCCTCCTTCTGTCCACTGAATACAGAAGCAGAAACAGTGTTCACCAACACAAATGCAAAAGAAACCCCTCGCAGTGGAGGCAACAGTGTGACAGGCCAAGAATTTAAACTGTGGAGTATTTCACACGAGTGTCTATCACAGCCACAGCTCTGAGATAAAGAGAAATATTTGCTGGTTGGAATGCAAAGAGGAGGAGGCAAGCTTCTTCCCCTGATTCTCAGCATTCCCAAGGGTCCAGTTCCAAAGTTTCCTCTGACACGACCCAAAACATGGCTAAGGATCAAGCCACGTGGATGCTGTTTGACCAATACCTCACTCAAGGAATGGCATGAGAAATACTTTGCAGCCACTGGAGACTTGCTTGAAAACTATATTAAGCAGCAATCCAGTTCTGTCTAAACCTTGCTATTTATATACCAGGGATGACTACATGAGAGCAGCAGCAATTCTTTTATTTAAAAATATATATACATCCAATCATCCTTCAGACAGCAAACCACTGCTATTTCATTACTAAAAACGATCTGGTCAAATTTTAGAAAAAACTCTTCTAAAGAACATTTTGAAAAGACTTCTGATTTGTCACTGGTATATGAGAATATGAAGGGCCACTTGTAAATCTCATGCCTTTCAGTGCTGTCTCATGAGGTAACAACCATCTTTCCTGCTAGTGTTTTTGTAAGTAAAATGGTCCTTTTTTAGTAAAAACAGAAATACAGAGATGACTTATTTTTTTTAAATATTGCACAAATAATTTAACTGCAGACAGTAGAAGACATTTAAAGCATTGATTTTTGTCAACATATGAACTCTATTGTATAGACACGCTTTCTATCATACACTTAATTCTCTTTTTTTTTTTTTTTTAAAACAAGACATTTGAATCCAGCATTTACATAAATATCTACACAGTCTGTTACCATATCACGTGAGGAGCTCCAGCAGGAGTTAGTTTTGTCTTTGTTTTAAAAGTTCATCTATCTGAGTCTTATACATGTTTTTCACATCCTCAAGATCCAGCCGAAGCTCTTCAGCTTCCTCTGCTTTCTCCCCATACATCTGAAGAATGGTATTGTACCTTTGATCCAAGTCCTGCAATAACATGTGGTTTGCTATCAGACCATCACTCAACTTAAAGGCTTGCTGCTAGAACAGTGTTTTTTACACTACTAGGGAAAATGAGCAGAGTGTCACTTTATCAAAGTGTGACTATTTTACAGTGGTGCACAAAGCAAGCTCTTCATGCTTTGATGCTCTGAATACAGCTTGATTCAGAGGACTAAAATATTTGTCCTGTTAACTATATCACCGCCACAGACAAATGCAGCCTCTAAATCGAAGTCTCATAAATCCATGCTGTTTATCAAAACATCTCCCCTACTAAAAAGATTGCCTTTATGTGGCAGAAATGACCTCTCATTAACTGCACATACAATCCTATGTAAAGCACATGCTTTTAACAAGGACATTTTGAAAGTGACTATCAGTCATGAAGCAAGGATTATCAGGTTTCCTAATAAGCAAAGAAATCTAAATCATAATCATAAATGATTAGAGATATATTTTAATGTAAGTTGATAGAGATTTAAAAAAGCCTACTGTATCAGATTTACAACACGAATACACTTACCTTTAACTGTGCACGCAATTTTGGTATTTCCTTCACTTTTTCTTCAAGTTCATCATTTTGATTTGTTAATTTAACCAGTTCTTCTGCCATTATCGATCTAGTTTTCTCAAGGTTTCCAATTTCCAGCTAAAGGAAATGTTTCACAATTAGGAAGAAGAGATAATTACCTTTTTCATATTAAATCTAAATGTTTCAAAACACTAAGGATTTTTCATGAACTGGACTAAGAAATAGCATCTGGAGGAAGCACTCTCACTTTTTTCTCAATCTGATCATTGCTTTTTGCTTCATTTCGTCTTAGGCAAGTTTTCTTGATAAATCCTTGCCAAAACAAAAACAGGAAGCAACAAATGTTTCTCTTACTCATCCCTATCTATTTGGTCACTTGTGCAGTAGCTTTCTGAATTAACAGAACTGCAGTAAGGAGAGGAATCAAACTTTCTGAGTATAAAACCAGTAAAACACAGCAGACTGCATTAACACTTAACCTTAAAAGTGCTGCATTTCATCTCTATAAGAGTAACTACAGTACCTGTAGATGTGAGATTTCTCCTTCTCTTAGTTTTAACTGTGATTGAAGGTTTTCAATTACACTTGAACCTGCTCCCATCCTTATAGCATCATAAAGATTGCTCCCACCGGAAGCTGTTGGTCCAAATGAGTGATCATGGGGATCATCCTACAAACAGAAAAGTTAGACAACCTCAAAATCTCACAAGTAACCGCTTTTAAATCGCCTCTCTCCTAACTTATTACTTCACTTAAAAACTACAATTATACTGTTGCTAAGCAAGCACTTCAATACTCAACCTTCTTTTTTTTTTTTATTTAAACAAGAGCTTAAGGTGAATATTCAGAGTTTGAGATAGCTCCTTACTGGCAAGTATTTACATCCTACAACTACCATTTAACTCAGACATCGACAACTGTACCCACATGAAAGCAGCAGGCTTCACAAAGACAACAGTCAATGATGCAGCCTAGGGAGTGGGCATGCACCCCCCTACACCAGGATTACTTGTGAAGATAAATCAGTGTTTTGACTTCTACCAGTGTTATTCAAACCTTCTAGCTGAATTTGGTTGTGTGGACTCAGCAGCGATACACGTGTATATCAGTCTGCAGTAAAACTGTGGTCCTGCTGTCTTCCACAGATGCTTTATAGTCACAGGCATCTCATAAGCAAGTTCTCAAGAGTCATTTTCAACATTAATAAAGCTTCCTGAAGAGAAAAAAAGTACATCAAAAAAGCCAATATTACAGTTCTACAATACCTGTGACAGAAAAGAGGTCTGAAGGCCTGCCATATCAACTCCGCTTATGGAACTAGAGCGAGACATAGTTGGAGTGCTTGAAACAGTTTCAACTGTAAATGACTTCCGATCCTTAAATAAAAAAGAAAAAACCAACAAGGCAAACATTATCACCACTCAGCTACAGAAGAAAGTCCACAAGATGGTGAAAGACAGATTCTGTAAAAACAGACTGCCCTTCTCTCCTCACCGAGTAAAAAACGTATGAGTTCAGCGATGAAGAAGTGCTGTGCTACTAACACTTCTAGACTTTGCTTAACTCTTTAGACTTTTCAAGGAAAAAAGACACAAGTTGCAAACTACAACAAAATAATTTCTCTTTCAGTAGGCAAGGGAGATGCAGAAGCAGTTTTAGATGCCCAAATGCATCACAGGAAGAATAACATAACCCAAAAGTATGCCACTTTTTGGAGTGCACGTTAATTCTTTTCTTTTCTCTTTCCTTTTTTTTTTTTTTTTTTTTTTTTTATGTTTCAGAAATTAACTCTGAGATTTCTTGTATTACTATCATACCTTCCAAACAGACTGATCTCATTTACAGTCAGCATCTGAAAATTTAGGACCCTCTCTGAAGGATAAAGCTGTTACATTTTGACACTAGAGAAAAGAAGTAACCAGCAGCAGAAGCAGTTTCACTTGAATATCAACTGCTAATCAGAAGTTACTGACACTACAAGACTATTTTGTGACTCAAAGTGGAAGGTATGAAGGTATGCAGTACATTACATACAACTGTGTGAAACTCAGAACAGGAACTCAGTGGAAGCAATGCTAGCAGCCTAAGCAGAGGAAACAAGTAGCTTCAGAAGATCAGAATAACCAGTATCCAGTTTTGATCTTTTTTCAGGTTAAATGAATTAGTACTCAAGACTTCCTTCAGCAAGTTTTACAAATTACATACTTCAGTCGAAATAAAAGGCAAGCACAATAAAGAAAAAGCCAAATTTCTAATGTGTACACTCAGAATATACTGTACTGCATTAAAGCTGCTTTGCTGCTTGCCACAGTTTTAGTTTCTAGATATCTAAGAGAATAATGATAGCCTCAATAAAACTGAACAGAAATGTCAAGCTTTGGTACCTTTTCCTTTGCTGCTTCTTGTGCAAAAATTGCCTTCTTTCTTTCCTGTTCAATCTTCATTTTCTCCATTTCTAACTGAGTAGTCAGCAGTGCCTACAAAAGTAAATGCAGGTTGTTAACCCCCTGTTGGCACAGGTATCATTAACAGCTTAAAGCTGAAGCAGACTTGAGGTAGACAATACCTTTTCTTTCTTTGCATCTTCCAAAGTTTTTGCATACTCATCTTTGAGTTCTTCTAGTTCAACCTCATACCTACCATTGAAGAGGAACAAAAAGTCAAAAAATAAGTATTCTGTATTTACTTTTGTTCTGACGTTGCTGAGATAGAGTTAATTTCTTTCATACAGGCTTGCATGATACTGTGGTTTGGATTTTTGATTAAAATAGGCATGGTAACAAAAGAATGTTTTAGTTAATGCTGAGCAGTGCTTGCACAGTCAAAGACTTTTCAGCTTCTCATGCTTCCCTACCAGCAGGGAGGCTGGGGGAGCACAAAAAGCTGGGAAGGGACACAGCCAGGACAGCTGATTCAAACTGGCCCAAGTGATGCTCTGTACCATCTGATGTCACACTTGGCAATGTCTTTATCAGCACAGTCGCTTAATAAAAGCACGGCTTCAAGATGTTAAAACATTATGAAGTGCCATATTTCAGACAATCTTTAGCATGAAACAAAAGTACCCTCAAGAAGTTGGCTGCTTTCTTAAGAACTGGGTTTTTTGTTTATTTGTTTTTAAACAGTGCTATCAACACTCCGGGGATCGAAATCAACACTCAAAGATCCAGCCTGAAGTCAAAGAGCTGCAGCAGATGTTTCTACAATGGATGGTTTATTCCACTCTGCTTACCTGCTGTTTTCAACTTCAATTTTCTTCAATTTGTTTCTCTCCATTTCCACCTGAGCCTGGAGACGACTATTCTCTTGCCTTAAGCGGCTGTTCTGAGACTCAGTAGAAGACAGCTGAACTTTATTAGACATAAGCTCTTCTGTAGCGGCCCGTTCTCTCTCAGCAGCTGCTGCTAGAAGAGTTTGAGACTCACCTAATGTTAAACAAAAACAAACCAACACAGAATTTACCTTTTCTGCTCACACAGTTATAACGTGGGTCAATTATTTGTGCATCAAAATGGAAGTTGAGGCATTTTTGTCAGTATTTTTGAAGCAACTACTTTTTTTTCCCCTAAATGCCAGTCTACCTTCAGTGCCTCAGTGTTCATGCTTCTTTTAGATGCTGTAAGCACATGCATTGTGTAACACCTCTATCTTACAGTCCCATTATCCTCTGTTGTAAAGAAAATCAGTGAGTTACGCACCTTAGCAATACAACCCACACCTCCTTCCTTACAGGAATGCGTTTTGTGCTCACCAATTCCGATTCACTCACTTGACCCTTGGGCAAACATTAAGCCCTTTTAAATTTACCTTCAGTTACTTTACATCTTCCAACAAGAGTCATACAGCTCAGCATAAGCTACAAACTTCTTACCAAGTCTGTCAGAAAGGTTCTTTTCCAATTTCTCCCACGCAGAGGTTTGTGCTCCCAGCGTGGCCTGCAAATTCTCTATCTGCCTGAGAAGAGGCCGTGTAGCAGAAGTAACACTTTGACTTAGTTCTTGGTTCCGGCTCTCTGCTTCCTGGAGTCTCTGAAATCACAAGTTCAATGTATTTAAGCATTAAAACCACACAGTGAATTTAAATGATATCACACAACTCATCTAAACACATCGTGTTCTAAAATCCTTTAGATTAAACTAACGGTGAAGTCTGCCATCCCAGCAGAGAGGTGCACCGTTTTTGGATACATCACAAAACAACAGCCCACACACTTACATTTTCAAGAGCAGAAAGCAATTTATCCCTAATTTATCTCAGCATTCTGATACCTGAAGCTTCCTGAATTAATCAGCTTAGCAAATTATCAGTTCATACTGGCAGCACACTAAACACTGCAGCAAGATAAACAGTGCCCCTAATTTAGGTCACCTCTCTCCTTATCCTCCACTTACACATTTATGCATGATTCTGCTCAGTTTCAGCCCTTTCAGTTTCAAATCCCTTTGTGCTCCAAATATAAGTTTTCTTTCCCTTGGGACACCACCACCTCTTGAAGAACTTTAACAACAAAATATCTGAACTTTAAGACCAAGAAAAAATCTCTTAAGAAGCAGATAAGAGTCATTCAAAACTTATTAGCTAGAAATCTTAGAAGACAAACTTAATGGTTGCACATTGTCTCGTACAAGAAGAATAGAATTACATTTAAAATACTTTAAAATTATTATTTTATTTTCAATATTAAAGGCAACATCTTTTGATCACACATTTTTATTGTTCTTCTATATAGGGAAAAAAAAAACCACCAGAGGAAACTGGGAACACAAAACCTCTCTTCCAGGATATTTATGACACATAAACATTTTGTTTTGAGAACCCTCCTCACAGATATGCATTGGCATTGCTTATTTGCTCGAATACCTGCTGTAGTTCACTGATTTCCTGACGTAAATAGTCTTCTTTTCTCGCAGCCTGCTGTTCTGCACGTTGCAGAGCTAGCCTCAGGTCTGCCACCTAGGTAAACAAGGTGTTGTCATTAACCTCTTACCAAACATTGCCATCTACTAACTGCTACAGTCCTCTGCTGCTCTCAAACACAGTCAAACAGGGTGTGCCTGCTTACAAGTTTAACTCTTAAGTTCTACATATGCACAGATAGACAAATTTGTTTATCTCAGAAAGTTGTGTCCAGGTAAACTTCTCAACCTTTGCATCGTGATATGAATACTACACACTTAGCAAATAGACTGTCAAAGTCACTTTATTTAGACAACTAGAATTAAAAGTCTTAGAAATTAGTTCCATCTTCTTTTGTGCCTGGTACCTTATGGAAGATGTACCTGGCACCATCCATACACACTCTGTTTGTTCAATTAGGAAGTTTCATTCATCATGTTTAACACACACCTGAATTGCCAAAGCTTCTTGCTGCTGCCGTGCCTCATCCTTGGCCTTCTCCAGTGCTAACCCAAGCTCTTCCTTTGCCTTCATTTCCCGACTCAGGGCAGCTTCTTGTGCCTCACTGTCCTTTGTAGCATTAGCCTTGTGAAGATCTGCAAGTTCTCTGTGGGAGAGAGAAAAGAAGTGAACAGTGACTTCACAAATAACTTCTTATATATCACTGCAGCACCTTGGAAGCACTGCATTAGAAGTAGACACTGAAACAGATTCTACACTGGAATACAGACATACAAATATCAGCCTACTTGTATGCACTGTCAAGAGCTGCCTGGACACTTCTGTTCCGTTCTTCAAGGTCTTCCACTTCTGCTTGAAGCTTGGCAAGATCCTTTTCTTGTCGCTCCACAACAACATTCAGTTGTTTAATGCTGTCTCGATGCTGCTTCTCAAGGTCTTCCTTGCCATCAAGTACCTATTAGGGTGCCAACAAGAAGCATCAGACTAATTCCAGTACACAGCACAGGGTAGATCATGTCACCTGAGTGAGGACAATGACAAATGTGGTAACTGGCCATGGTTTTTCAACTCAAAATTTAATAAACTGAATTTGGTCAGCCTGAAAATCAGCAGCACAAGTGCAAACAAACAGCAGGAAAGAGAAGCGACTGCAATTTGAAAGGACTGAAATTGCATCTCAGTGTTCCAGTAATAAGAGTAGAGAACAGTTCATCAGCAAAACACAACAAGAAAATAAGTCCACCTCCAGCTTCCCCAAAAGGCTGAACTAAAAAGCTTTTGTGAAAAAAAAGCAAATCTCACCTGTTTTAAATGCTGCAACTCTTCTTCCAGTTCCTTGATCTTTTTGTTCTGTTTTGAGTTAATATTTTCTCTTTCTTTCTCCTTTGCTCTTAATTTCTTAATAGTGTTGGAATTGTGAAGTTGTTGTTTGGAAAGTTTTTCTCCTGAAGAAAACACAAAATTTAGCATCTATTGCCTGCTATTCCATGAATAGTCTTCATGTGATGCATTCTGTTTGCCAAGTAACAAAGGCTTTAATGTAAATACAGCACATTTCAAATTATTCTACAGATTTTACTTTATTTTTTTTTTTAATTCATACCTTCCTCCATCAATCCTTTGATTTGCTCCTCTTTCTCTTTCAGTAATTCAGCAGTTTCATTGGTATTCAGTCTGGTAGCCAACTCTTCTTTAACAGTCTTTACTTCCTAAATAACAGAACAAAACACTTGGTCTTTTAGTAGGATGTATTATGGATAAATTCATGGTTATGCTGATCACCTATTACTTTTCTCCTTCCATCTCAAAATGCTCCTCAAGAACAACAAAGGCTGGAAGGGACCTCTAGAGGTTACCTGATCCAACGTTGTATTTAAAGTAAAGCTAAACTTGAAGTCAAATGGGATTGCTCAGAGCTGTATTCCATCAATTTTTAACACGTTCCAAGGATTTGTTTCAATAAGAGCTGATTACCTTTTTAGCTGCATCTCTTTCCTTGCATGCTAGCTGGAGCTTCTTTTCAGCGTCTGCTATTCGCTGTGCAAACTCCTCCTTAAGAGATGAAATGCTGCTGGTCTCTTCTTTCATTCTAAACATTTCACTGCATTTAAAATTAACATTTCAGAACGGTTTCACAGAGATGTGACATTCCAAACATTTTGCAGCAGTTTAAATGCTTTTAAAATATGTTCCTGATTTTTACACACAAGAAGTACCAATCAAAGACCTTTATTAATCCACTAAGTTACCAGTGAAAGCAACAAGATGCTAAATAGGCCTTACGAGTTTTGCCCCTTAATCAAGTTATTCCCAAATAACCTCTTAACCTGTATCATATACAGGGGAAATGAATACATACATCTTTAAGTTAAGAACAATTTAGTCATTAGGTAATACCTTCACATATTATCTGCAAATGTCTAGAATTCATATTTGATGAGTAAAACTGGCAAATTCAACTTTTCATTTTGCATTTTAACTTGAGTTAAATAATGAATTCATATTTTAGTTACAACCAGCCCTCCTACTGTGCTTCCACTGCCTGTGTTTTAGTCAGCAAATGCCACAGTAAATCAAGTTCATCTCTTTGTACCAGAGCAGTTTCCCTTAATAGCAGATCCCAGTCTTATTATAAGGATCTTTATTAACATCAAAATCTGACCGCACATCTGATTCCCATTCCTTCCTCACTGAAGCCTCTTTCATTGGCCCTCCCAAAGTTGTAGCCACAAGAAATAACAACTTTAAGAAATACCATCACAGCACGTGCAAGCACTACTTCCACCTGCCCCAAATACTGCATATCCCTCACAGCCTCTGTTCTGGTGAGAACTAGTACATGTTTTACCATTTCACCTACTGTGTGCATTACAATAAAGTTACAGCTAGACCAATGCCTGTGTATACTTCCATACTTACTCCTTTAGGTTATCATAAGCTTCTTCCAGCCGCGCCTTCTCTTTACTTGTACTCAGTAACTGTGTTTCTCTCTTCTCCAGTTTCTCATTTAACGAATCAATCATCTGGACAGTGTTTTTTACAGATCAAGATTGGATTAATGGGACAATGAAAACACAGAAGTAGCAGGTTTCTCCTTTCCCCTCTCATCATTCCCTCACAGAATGGCCAGGGTTGGAAGGGTCCTCAAGGATCATGAATTTCCACCCCCCTGCCACACCACCAACCTCCCCATTTCACACCAGCCCAGGCTGCCCAGGGCCCCATCCAACTGGCCTTGAACACCTCCAGGGATGGGGCATCCACAACCTCTCTGGGCAGCTGTGCCAGCACCTCACCACTCTCATAGTAAAGAACTTCCCCCTGACTTCCAACCTGAATCTTCCCTCCCTCAGCTGAAAACCATTTCCCCTTGTCCTGCTGTTATCTACCCTTTCAAAGAGTTGACTTTCAAACTTCTCAAGGTTTTCAGGAACATGAAGCTAGAAGATCAACATGCGTTTGCTACATTTACTCAGAACTGAGTCATTTCTAAACACAAGATTTCTATCCTAGAGGTAAAAACCTTTCTAAGAGAGCACATATGGCTCAGCTGAGCTACTCGACAAAATGAGCAGCAGTTACATTTAATTGCAAAGCTTTTAAACAGAGCTGGTGACCTATAGAACTACAGCTGATGTTAAACACTCAGATTAACACTGTGCTCCTCATCCCACTCTTTACAAAGTCAAGGAATGATTCACATTTGAAGAGGTCTCTTCTGTGAAATGTCAATATTGGATGAGGAAAACAAACTTTCAGACAGGTGTGGAGCTGATAAAAAATCATCTAACATCAGATTTTTGAAAGCTAAATAGAGGGAAATAACACAAACATATAAAAACATAAAGAAATCAAACTGATTCTATTAATGAATGGCATTATATGGTCAGGGAAAGACAACATTTGCTGTGGTTCATTAACAACTATTCAGTACATTAGGAAAACTTATGCAGACTTATGTAAACCTAAGGAGATTCCATGACTGTGGAGTTTCCCTAAGGAATTTGCACTGATATTCTCTACAATTTAAAGAAACAAAAAAAGCTTTCCTTAAAATGCAAATCATATTGTGGCTTATGAGCCCCATATGCAATTGTTTGTCCCTTATTAGCGTTAGGGACAGCACTGGTATGGCAAACATGCCAGCAGGACACAGCCAGGAGCAAGGCCTACCTGTGTCACATACTGTGCAAAACACTGCCTGAAACAAAACGCAGGAGGAAAAAACAAGAGTAAAATGTGCCCAGGCATGTTGGAATGTAAAGACAAGAACAGAAGGGCAGGAAGGTGACAAAGGAAATGGGCCAAATAAAACAGTGCAGAAAGCTCAAGTTCAGCCTTCCACAAAGGAACTAGTAAACGCGAAGAAGGACACTCCATCTATTTAAACTAGTCATTCAAATATCTCCTATTCACTATCAATATGCATGCTTTTCTTCTCCATTTAATGCCTAATAAACCTTTTTTTTTTTTTTAAGTACAGATTATGTCTAACACATGAATTTATCTAGAACAAAGCGATTTACACTGCCACTGACCTCAAAGATCACAAGTAATGCTGCTGCAACGTAATCAGACTTCAACAGTTTGCAAACCTGGGGAAAAAACGCTTGCAAAAAAATTCCCCAGTTTACTGATGAAATACTAAAGGCTTGCAGTTTCACAAACCAAATTAAAATACCTCAAGAAATCTCTTCCACCTCCCACGGAAAAAAAGGAATCTGTATTAATTTAATTGGTTGATACATTTGACTTGTCAGTACTTCCTGTTTGCCTGCACCAGACACAACTCTCAACACTGGTAACTGAACACAAGTGAAACCCAGAATGATTTGACCAGAAATTTCAGCAATATTTTACCACTGCAGAATATTAAATAATTTTCTACAATTAAGTTCATTCAGTATTAATCAGTTCAGCTGAGGTAAGGCTAATATCTCTAACACAAGATGACGGGAGATCAGCTTGGAATCAGGTGTGTTTGCAAAACTTCTGTGCTTACCTTTTTAAGCTTTTCCATTTCAGAGTCCCCTTCCAGCACCTCTCCATCAGCATCGGGCTGAGGCTCAGTCTCCTCTTTCCCAACCTGTTCCTCAGTTTGCACAGCAGACACCAAAACATCTGGCTGCTCAGAATTAACAGGTGTTGCACTTCTCCCACTCTCTTCCATCTCAGCTTCCTCAGTGTGTACCACAGGACTGTCATTCACATCTTCAGATTTACTTTTCAGGGTGGCAACTGTTTCTGTCTTTGGTGCAGAAGGACTGATAGCAACAGATGCTGAAGCACAAGCCTTGCCTGATAACTCATCATCTGAATTTATTTCACTTACACTTCTACTATCTAAAGACTGTACACTAAATGAATCTATTCTTTCAAAGGCATCAGAGGAGCAGCCGCTTTCGGTCATTTTTTGAAAGTCATCCAAACGATTATAGTCTGCACAGGCAGATGTAGATAAAAGCTGAAACGACGTCTGCATTAGATGAAGACTGGATTTGGAATCTGCAGCTTCTTGTCTTGAACTTACTGAGCTCTCACTTATTACACTTTCATGGTCCAAAACTTCAATATCACTAGTTGTGGATGTTCCTGAGGAGAAAGTGCTTATTGGGGGTGACGGTGTATTGCTCTGCCTATCCTCAGTTTTTTGTTCTTTAGTTTCCAAGCTCACATCTTTTGTACCTGTATTAAGAGGCTGTGAGTTGCTACCCAGTGCACCTCCAGTTCTATCTGTCCCCACACTGGATTTTTCATTAAGAGCATCCTCAGGTTCTTTCAAATTGAGAGCAGATGCCTTTTCATCAGCAACTTCATTTGTGCTTTCTTCACGCTCAGCATTAGATTTAAGCACAGAATTCTCTTCTGGTTTCTCCTTTGAGCTATCGAGGTTTTTCAAGTCTGCTAGGCCACCTACAGAGGAATCTTTTACTTCTGCTTCTGTAGTCACCAGTACTTCCAGCTGACTGAAGTGCTGAGGCTCTTTTAAAGTGCTTTTCACCTCCTCCTTGGGTCGCTGTGATTTGGCTGGAGGTTTGGACACCACTGGATTTTTCTGTATGCTCTGAACGTCCGTTGGAGAGAGAAAGGCACTGAAGAAGTTTTCAGATTCATCTACTACTGTTCTCCTCACTGGTTTGGTGATTGCAGTTGGTGATACTGGCGGATTCTGTGGTTCTGTATTTGAACTTAAACCCCAAGAAGAAGTATCCCATCCTCCACTTATAAGAGAATTTGTTCCTGAAACAATTAAAAAGCACAAAGATATAGACCAAGAAAAGTTCGAAATCATTAATTTTTCAATCTCTTATACAACTATGCAACAGGTTCAGAAGAAAAGTTTTCAGCATCATATAAAGCAAATATTAATATGATCACAAACAGCATCATTTTGGTTAACACTTCTTACCAAAGCTTGGAGCTGATTTTTAGACAAAATAAAAGAAGGAAGACAAAGTAATTCAAGGACTTAAGGTGGACCGAGACACCTCCAGCAAGTAAGAGCATCCGAGCAAAGCAAACACGCTCTCTCTCAATCTTAAACAGTAACTTGAGCAAGGCCTGAAAGAAGCCACACAAAATTACGGCAATAACTCCGAGACAGAGGATTTCCAAGAGAAGAGGGGGAAGGGGAGATGACCCTATGTAGGGTTCAGAGGGTCCGGGAGGAGGGGAGGCCGTGAGGGGAACCGCCCCACGCACTGTAAGCCCAGGTCTCGCCGCTGCCCCGCTCACCGTCGCCGTAGTCGGGGATGACGGCGTCGGGCCAGGGGCTCTCCTCGGCCTGGATGTCCAACACCCGGTCAATAGATTTCTGGGCTTGGGTCAGCGCCTGCTTGGCGAAGCTGGACAGCTGCGAGGCGTTGAACCAGCTCATCCTCGGCGCCGCCCGCTCCCGCTCGTAGGCGGCAGCCCCGGGCCACAGGCGAGGCCGCGGCCGCGACCCCCCGGCCCGCAGGGCCCTCTCCCCGGCAGCGGCGAAGCCGGCGACCCCGGGCTCGGCTCCGCGCCTGCGCGCCCGCACGCTCCACGTCGCAAACAGCCCTCGCGCAGCCGCCAGCCGGCCCTCCGACACGTCGCGCGAGGCGGAGCGAGGCCGAGCGAGGCCTTCCGCCTCGGTACCTGTCATGGCGGAAGGAACACCACATCCACTTCCGCCTCAGTACCTATCATGGCGGAAGGAACATCACGTTTACTTCCGCCTCGGTACCTGTCATGGCGGTGAGGGACCGCTTCCGCTTCAGCGCTTGTCAGCAGGAGGGCTGCCCGTGGTTCCTAGAAGTGTCGCGGCCTGCCGGGCCGTCGCTGCCTCTTCTCCCGTCCCCTCCATCTTCCAGACGAAACGCTGGAGGCTCGTATGCACTTACCCCTCCTTAATGCCTCCTTCGGCTGCTGGTTGCAGCAGGAAGCATACCGCAAATAGAGTTTTATAAAGCTCGGTACCTGAACTGACTGCTCCCACAGCCTGCAATGCTCCTTTTAACATTCCTCAACACTGAACAACTGTGAAATTAAAAAGATGCGGCTAAAGCAGACAAAAGATGCGGTTTTTTGAACTGTGGCTCTACACACTATTAAATAAGTCACAAACTACGGTACCTTTATGGGTTTTTATTAATAAATATGTTAACAGCACTGATGATACTTGAACATAATTCTGCAGTACTGCATGCAGCAGCTGATGGGTGACTGCAAACAGACATGTCCCTAAATTCAGGCAGTTTTCATTCACCCTTCTATGTTTACTTGCAAACAAAGTAATCTCTTCAATACTTCACACATTTCATACAATTGGGCAAATCTCAGTATCAAATAAAAGGAAATTGATCATTTTAGTTCTACTGCTCTCTCTTGGATTTACAGTGGCAGCAAGCATTCAGGAGTGCTGTGATTTGAATCCAGGTGCAGCGGTTCTTTCTTAAAGGTCTCACTCTGCATATACATGTATGCATATACGTTAAAAATTAAAAAGACAAGAAGACTTTTGGCCACTCTACAATTTCCATGTGTCTGAAAGCGTATCAGCATTAATATTTTGACACAAAAAACTTGGGAAAAAGTGTATTCCTATACATCCGAGTTCTGTACATTAATAAGTATTTATACAAATATAATCCACCAAATATTGGCTTCTACTTAAAATTATGAAATATGGTGATTCATTTGTATTACCTAACCTTCAGCAGTGCCAGTACTAGCATGAACTTTTCAGTTAATTTAAGATCCACAGAGTACATTTGTTTTACGAAGTGGGTACAGACTTCCCTCGCTGTATAACCTGCTTATTTATGCATAAATTAAGTGGTAAAGTGGAGTTTGAACAGCATCGTCTGTGGTGTAGTAACATCAGCAACTGCAAGCTCCTGGCCATCAACAAGTCCCAGCTCTAAAACAGAAAGAGAAGTTTAAATATAGCAAATCCACATTTAAAAATAGAGAGATATGAACGTCCTTCACACAAACCATACACACAATGAAATAAAGCTGCAAATTACTCACTAGCTAAACCAATATTCATCTAATTCAGCTGGGAAACTAACAGAACTTATCAAAACCTACACAAGCAACCACACTAAAGCACCTTTAGCCTACATCAGTTATCAGCTTGCTTTGTTACAGCTTTTTGTAATACCTCCTGGTGCAGCAACTGAAAGTTCACCTCAGAACAGTCTAAAAAGAGCAAGCTGCACTTGACAATGAAGCAACACATGCCATACAGAGGGGCGAAACCAAATGACTATCTTTCTATTTAGAAGTGTATCTTGGAAACCTATATGTGACAACAACAGTATGTTACCATTTAGTGTTTTGGAAAGATTTGGCCTTGTTCGTTCTTCAATTGAAGCTACTGTCTGAAAAAAGTCAAAATATTTCATGTCAAATTCAGGCATGTAAATTTAAATAAAACTATGTAACAAAATTAAGCAGGTTCTGTTTACCTGTAAATAAAGTGTTTTATTTCCTCCATACATGGTTGCAGTGATTGCAGGAGATTTCATTTGCCTATATAAAAAACATTAAAAAACAAAACAAACAAACAAACAAAAAAACCAGATACAAAAATATAAGTAAAAATTATCTAAAATTATTAGCTAAGTCAGAATAGTTGCTTACTTACAGTGAAGCATTATTTGTCAAATAATCCAAGATCTCTTGCAGTTTAGCTGATGGAGAAATCTCAATGTTCTGAGGAAGCTGGCTGCAAGCTGGACAGTTCTCCTACAACAGAGCACCACAGGAGCACAGGTTGTGTCTTTCAAAACAACTGCTGTCATAACCTTTTGTGAGAAGATTTGCTTCTGAGTGTTCTTAAGATTGCATTTTATTCCATAAGCTGTGCTTTGCATAGAACAAGTGAAATCTTCAGGATTCACTTTCAAAAAAGCCAAGGACTGTTTTCCTCCACAGGTCACATCACAAACCCTTCAGATACCAATGTAGTACCAGCACTGACTACAGAGTAACTGACTGAAGAATGCCCCTGTACCAGAAACTACTTTTTGAAATATTAGGAAACTGGCTGAGCAGGCAAAAATTAAATATGTCATTATATATACTATGCAACAGTTTTTGGTAAATTGATGAGTAGAAGAAAATCTTCTGTTATAAGGGCATCAAACAGGGTATCTGTTGATCCGGAGATTAACACTCCAACTTCCTTATGCTACATGGACAAAACACCACCCCAAAAGCATACAAGGTTTAGAACAATAAAAAATTCCACATCCTACATGCTGAAAACAATATCCCAGAAAAGAACTAGAGTAATAACATTATAATTTCTGCTTTTAAAACTTTGAAAATACTTGATTATAGTGCCAGGGGCCAGAGAAGTTCAATAGTGAATGAGTTTCAAACACAAACAAACTGCAGTAAGTTCAATAACAATCAAAGAAATAACCCTGCAAGCCTTTAATGGTGCTGACCTTTCTTCCAGCTTCAAATGTGTACGAGTATAATCCATCCACGTCATTGAACACCAAGTAGTTGTTGAGAGGAATGTATGCACTACAATGACAAACACATTTCATGTTAATACATGTCCTTACATTGGAAGCCATGTATGTAATTAGTAAAAAATGAAATACCTTGTGGCTATTTTAAAAACTTCAGTGGCACAAACAGCTGGAATCAGAAAAAAAGAACAACAAAAACCAATTTGTTTGTTTTCTACATCCATCTTAGAACATGCAGACATTAGTGCACAAACTTGTAACAAAGAAGCAACCAAAACAACTTCAGAAAGGGAAAAACAAGCACCTGAAGGCAGCTCCATGCACTACCACCACACAGTTGGCACTAATCTGAGATTATGTTAAACCTACATACTGTATTTCCAATTTTTATTTTTCTCATATCTGAAATGCTTTCGCTCACTCTGTGTCACACATGAGCTTAAAATTCATACACAATAATTCAGTTTCTCCAAGTGGGAAACAACAATAAGACTGTAAGTATAAGTTACTCCCATTTGAAAACTATAGTTATTCCTCCCCAGGTTTCCTATTTCTACCTTACAAAAAATAAAAAGTTGATAAAGGATAGGTGAAATGAGTAAGAAATGACATTCTGGTTCTTCCAGCCTACCTGCAATTACTGCATTCGTAGAAGCTACTGCTGGAATAATTCGTTTTACAACCCCTGTAAAAACAAAACATATATAGCTTTGTCTTTTTCCAGAACTATAGAGAAAGATTATTTTTAGCTAGAATTTTAATTACAGAAGGGTGTATCCAAAGGTACTTTAAGCACTTTCCAGGATTTCTATACCGATAAAGTATAATGGCAGGCTGCTCAAGTATTTTGGCATATTATTTATTTCAGTGAATAAACTCTAAAATACAAGTATGCTGTATTTATTTAGCACCAGAAATTAATGTAAAACTCAGTTCTATTGCTGGTTAACTGGAAAAATGCAAGGAGAAAAACTTGTATGTGATATTCCCTGTGCAAGAACAAGCTTGCCAAGCTGTATCTATACTTTCACCCAATTCTGAGTCAGTCCATTCAGTCAAACAGCACAGTACGTAGACCAATATCTAGCAAGCTTTCCTATACATACAGGTTTGTACTAAAAGAGAAAGAGGTTCCCTTTTCATTTTTCAGGCCTTCCAAAAAAGACAGCAAATTCCTAAGCAGTCTGGCTTGCTACTACTAACTGTATTGCCTTCATATCCAAGAAAATATACATAAAAACTTGAAGCTTCAGCTCCTTTCTGCTGTGTATCTGAAAAAGAAGCTGTTTTTAAATGCTTCAAAACTGTGCAGGCATTTGCACATGTATAACTATATCTCAGAAGTGGAGCTCACATTTATCTGTGCCAGAAACCTACCTGCTACAGTCTTACGCAGCATAAACTGGCATAAACTGCTGCTGTTGCTAAAAGAGCCAAATCACATTCTTTTGCTCCTACTTTTTGATCCAGAAAATGTGGTAGCAGTTGCTCCAGGTTAAAAATAAAATGGCAAAAAGAATGTTCAGTTTTGTCCCAGATGAAGTTCCTATGAATCATCACTCACATCTAAACATCTGATTCATCATAAAATATTTGTGCTGGCACAGGAGATGAGTTGCTTGTTTCTGTTTTAAGATGTTAAGTGGAAAAGAGCACTATTTCTTTCCCAGCACAGCTGCCAGCTTAGCTGCAATAAATGCAAAGAATGCCAATCCAGGATAACTGCATTAACTAGCCAAGTGTCATACCCTTACCTTGGGTGAGTCTGTATGTAACACCTTTAATATTAAATTGTGATGCTCTTTCCAAAGACTTCTGGTAAATCCACTGTATGTGTTCAGGATCATCTCCATCCAAAGCAACACCTTCTGCAGCAATTTACAGACAAGTTGCAGTTATAAGACCTCTTCTGAAATAGAGCATTATTTTTTACCTAAACACATCCCTTGTTTT